CGTACACAGAATTTGCATGTACATTATGTGAGGTTTTCAGTTTGAAGTCCACTGAATGCAATCATATAATTAGTTATTAGATGCCTGGAAAGATGTCAATGATGATAGAAAGTAAACGCCCTCATGTCTACATTGACAATCAAATGAGCCTGGAAACATTCTTTTTGATTTGTGGTGGAAATTCTAGTGTCAACTTGTTTGTGTCTTTTAGTGCAACCGTCAAAACAAGCGGGAATACTGTGTCTAGGATGGATGGCCACGATGCTGAAAGTGACCGTGTGTCGGGGAGTAAAAACACACCAAAAACTATTGTAGAGGCTTCAAATGTGGATCCAAATAATGAGGACGTAGATGAGGAAGACGACGTCGAGGACGATAAAACAGATGAGGATGGAGAGGATGAGGACAACGAAGAGGATGATGGGTATGATGATCATCACGGCGACGATGGATCTTTGGGGAGAAGTACCCTCGATCCTACTATAGACGGTAGTGAAGGTAGTGTCATTCACACTCAACAAACTGTGGAACATCCAAGGGAATTCAGTCGTCTATTGGCAGAGTGTACGTACACAAATCAACGTGTACCTAAGGGAGAAAACATTTCTCATTTGGGTGACAGTACACCAACCGGGACTCCAACCCGTAAGTGTCGACATGGTTTGTACCAATATGGTAGTGGTAGTGTCGAAGCCTACATTACAACGAGTGGACTGATTTTGGTGTTGAGAAATATGGGATAAGACATGTTGGGAATGTTGATGACACTCAACTTACTATGAGGCTAACATGAAAAATTCAATTGATTATTAGAAATGTGTACGTATACTAATTAACATGTACGTAATTGATAAAATATCGATCATTTTGGAAAAATGATGACATTCAACCATTTGTGAGTCATAACCAGGAGGTAAGACATGATTTTTGGAAGAATATACGTACATTACTAACTATGTACACGAGAAAGTATCTGACGGTAAATGTTTGACGTACACAAATGCAAATTGGCATGGTATATGTAAAGTGAATGGTAATTGTGTGGATTTTGCTCTAGTCTTCGATGATTTAGTAAATGCCCGAGTTGATGAGACAAAAGTATAAATTAATACGACAAGAGAGACATTGTTTGTTGGGAGTGTATTTAGAAAAAAAAATCAAATAACAATGGCTTCATATCTAGTAGAAGCGTCATAGAATACATCCCCGCCATCGCCAATATTGGTTTATTATTTTATCAATAAATTTATCTTAACAAATTTAACTTATCGACAAAGGTGTACGTTCATTATTACACGTGTACGTACATAAGTTTTTCAGAAATATGAAGAACAAATATTCTTTAACCATATATTTTTTTAATTATTATATATGCATGTATTTTATTGAGATATACGAATAAGTAACAAAATGGCTTGATTTTGGAGTCAAATCCTATAATTTTTAATTTTTTTCGTAGATTGTGGTTAGAGATTTATTACAACCACTTTAATATTATACCATATACGTTCCACTAAAAAACTTTCGTGTACGTACACCGTAAATTGCATATACGTACAGAGAAGAAATTCTATAAAGGGTATAACTGTAATTTTTCAGTCATCTTCAACCTGAGTATATTTTTCTGCAACCCTAATTTTTTTGCCATCGTTAACAGTTATCTCATAATCTTGTTTTCTTTACGTTTTGAATGCTTTTTTACATATAAATCTTGTAAATCTAGCATTTTTAAGTTTGAAAAGGTAAAGTTGAGAGACTATTCAGATCTTAAGAAAACGATTATTATTGAGATTTTTGAAGATGAAAAAGTTGAGATTTTTGAATTCTTTTACTCTTTCTGTTTCTTTCAATAATTTTTTTTTTCACTCATAATAAGACAAAGAAAAAGAAGTACAAACGTAACTGAATGATAATAGTTTATGGTTAGGTGCATTTTAGTCAGAAAAAACACAAATTGCTAAATGGTGAAAGCCCAACTTGACTTTGTCAAATGGTGAAATAAAAATTCAATTCCTTACTAAACGTGAAAATTTCTTTAGATTTATCTAGTCAAAATATAAAAATTAAATTTAGTCTATTGCATTTCTTTTATCATTTTCACAATCAAACAGATATTATTACTAATAGTCAACGTTGTAGACTTGATGAATATAGCTGCCACGTCATTCCAGAAGGCAAAAACTGCACGAGACCAACGTGAAGCGAAACAAAACGACATCGTGTATCTCTCTCGAGTGAGCCACGTGGAAAACTGAGTGGGCTCCATAATATCTTCGTGGGATCCACAACGCTTCTCCGACTAAGTTACACGAATCATCGGCCGGCCAAATATCTTCAACTGCGTGCGAGGCAATACGTGTCAACGTCAATTCACGAAATCAAAATCTTTAAAAAGTCTTGCGTCTATAATCGATACCTTAGATTTGGGAACGTGACGCGTCCGTGAGTTAAAGCTCGTGAAACTGCTTACTATGATAAGCCATGACTCATTTCCGGTGAATAATTCGCCGGTGACGGCGGAGGAGAATGGTGGTGTTACGGAAAAACCATTTTTTTCGTCTGAGAAATTATCTGGTATTAATTTTGTTTTTTGAAACAAGTCTGGTATTAATTTTCTGTGTCTGAGAAATCTCTGGTAAATTGTGTTATATACACAATTTCGTATAAATACGTACGTATATATGAATTGATTCATACTGTACCCTCAGAATCGCCGGTAAAGGAGAATTTAGCTCCGGCGGCTACTCCAATGACGGTGGCTAATGGTTTAAGTGCTCAAGTGAAATCTCGATGGTCGTTTTCTTCTTCTAAGAGAAGCTTTGGTACTACTTTCATAATCTTTTTTTTTTTGTTAATTTCTTTTTAGTTTAATCTGATTGATCATAAAGACCATTTTTTTTTTTTTTTCTTTGATGATCGATTATTGCCTCTGCGAATTGATACGGTTAATGGTACTAAAATATTATAATTGAGCTCTTTGTAGTAAGATAATATCCTGAACTCTTAGCCTTAATTTAATTGATTTTGTTTCCATTAATAGATTCGAATAACGAATTTTGTTTATATTAAAATCATAATCATATCATCTTCTTAATTGGATTCATCTAATCATTGGCTTTTCGTCCCGTCAAAACAGAGAGATTTAGCTTTTTCCTAAATAGATTTCTTCCACTAATAACTAATTAATGGCTGCTTAAATAGTGATTCAAACCGTCAAGAATATTGAGAATTTTTTGCCTTTTTTTTCCAGTCCTTTTTATAATTTGGGTGTCATTGTTTCCGGTTTTAACTTGATGAGTTCTAGAAAGTTTGAATTTTATTGCCCTGTGAATTGGAGAATTCATAGTGAAGTAAGATTTGTGTTCCGAGGTTAGAGCTTTAAAGAGTGGTTTCTTACACTTGAATTGTGTTTATTTCTTTATATGAATTTCTTGAAATATGTAAGTTGTTCCAATGTGACAGGAAGTAGTAAAGATGAAACCTTTTTTGATTCACATCAATGGCTACAATCCGATTCTGAAGACGATTTCTACAGCGTTCATGGCGGTTTGTTACATTTTATTACACCCTAATATAAGTTTGGTTAATAACTTTTATGTAAACTCAAGATTTGAGATCTTGTTTATGTAGATTTCACTCCATCACTTGGAAATACTCCAAAGTGTAGTTTCTCAGAGAAGCTTCCTCGTTTTCACAACCCTTTATTCGAAGGAGAGAAGCCTCGAGTATCGTTCTCGTATTCTCCTGCACCGCGGAGAAAGAAACTAGGCGAACTATTTAGAGACAGTATAAGAGAAGAACGAGAGGTATTTTTAGAAGAGTCATTGGAAAACCAAAGTGAAAAGAGTAAAAAGTCATCAGGTGATAACGCTGTTGAGCTCAAAGTCATTGAAGATTCTGTAGAAGAGAAGAAGAATCTTAAATCTTTGAATTATCACCATCGTTGTCTTCCGAGATTCTCGTCTTTTAAAGGAAGTTTAATGGAGAAGAGAAGGAAGAAGAAGAAGAAAATTCATGTGAAATGAGATTGAAAGTTTGGATGTTTTATCATGAAAATCTGAAAACTTTCAGCTTTAGTAATTTTACAAGTTTTTACGATTTTTTTAAAAGTTAGTTTTTGGATCATTTCTGATGAAATTTGAAACCTGTTTCAAAGTTGGTAATGGTATATTAGTAATGGTCAAAAGGCTCTTTGTTTAAATTAATATCACCTGTCAATTATAATCAAAATGCATACTCTTTTTTATTTTTTTGTTAAGGTAATTTGTAGACTTTAAGAAACTTATTTAAGAACGATTCTAGTATTTTTTTTTTGTAATTTTATAATATTCATGAAAATTACTGAAAACTAAGAAATCCAAACATCTTTCGTTACTACAAACGCTCAAAGAAATAAGTTTTGATTTATATCGTTTTAGAAAATGCTATGAATCATATACGTACAATCGCAACCCATCAATCCCTAAATCATAAAATCCCTAAATATATTTTGCCATAAAATAACTATAATTTTACTTATCTTAAAAATGTAGCTTTTAAAACTAAAGTTAATTTTTAAGATAATTATAATTTAAAAATATAATAAAGCAATTATCTTAGACAATAAAAAACTTATCAACTTTTGGACCTTTTTGGTCTCTTGTACATTTTCTGATAACAAGTGGAGCTTTTTAGTTGATGACAAAAAAAAAAAAGTGGAGCTTTTTAGTTGATTGGTATAAAATGGAAGTAAAAAAGTAGTAGAATATTCCTTATTCTTTTTCTACAAAATGTAAATCTATTTTTTTTTTTCTTATTTAATTATCACACCAAAATCTGGTGGAATACGAATCAAATTATCAAAAAATTTAAATTTATAGGCCTTTTTTTCCTGCAAATTTATAGGCCTAAAAGTGGCTAAAATCAAATGAAAATCTAATATAATAGGTTTTATCTAAATCCTAAATATAAGTACAAAATCATTATTTATAAAATAACAAAACAAAGGTTTGATATTTTTGCGTTGAACAGAATCGTTGTCACTTGTCAGTCTTCACTACGGAGCTGTTTTTTTTTTCCGATTCGCCGGAAAAATCACAAAATCCAAATCTACAACCACCTTTTATCGGAATCCAATGCCGGAGGATTCTTCTTCAATAGACTACGCGATGGAGAAGGCATCAGGGCCTCACTTCTCCGGTCTTCGCTTCGACGGCCTTCTCTCTTCTTCTCCACCCAATTCCTCCGTCGTCTCTTCACTTTCTCACCTCCGATCAGCTGTTTCTTCCTCTTCTCCGGCTTCTTCCGATCCTGACGCTCCCAAACAGCCCTTCATTATCGGTGATTTCTCAATCCCCATTTCGCTCTAGCGGTGTTTAGGTTTGATCAAATTTGGATAATCTAGGGGTTTGATGATTGAACCTCTGAGTATGGTAGCATTTTGTGTTCCTGAGATTTAACAGAACTAATTTGGTTTCAATTGTATAAAGTATCGATTTTTGCATAAATTTCAGTTTCTTTTTTTGACGTTTTGTTTGATTTTGTCTTTTGAAAGGGGTTTCTGGTGGTACGGCTTCTGGTAAAACCACGGTCTGCGATATGATAATCCAGCAACTTCATGACCATCGTGTTGTTCTAGTTAATCAGGTTTGATTCTATTGCTTCAATTATGTTCTCGATGTCCCACTTTCTTCTGTATGAGATTCACATCATATATTGTTTGATTTCTTTTGTTGATTAGGATTCCTTTTATCGTGGTTTGACATCTGAGGAGTTGCAGCGTGTGCAAGAGTACAACTTTGATCATCCCGGTAAACTACCTTAATCGGGTTTTCTTGAATTTTCTCACTGCTTCTATTTTCGTTTAAGTACACTGCGGTTCAGCTCACAGCAGCATTTGATATTCTTTTGCAGATGCTTTTGACACTGAGCAGCTTTTGCATTGTGCTGAGACTCTCAAGAGCGGGCAACCCTATCAAGTTCCAATCTACGACTTTAAGACTCATCAACGTAGATCTGATACTTTCCGCCAGGTGCTTACTCTTCTGTCCAAGACCATTATTGTGGTTATTGTGCTCATGTGATTTGAATCTCTTATTTATGTGTTCCTATTTTTACTTAATGGGCATATTAGCATATATTCATTCCCTTTTAGTTTCATATTCGAAGCTGCGAATCAGATCTCATCATTAAAAAGAATGAGTTTATTCCTGTCTTGCAGTGGATGATAATTATTTATTTATTAATTTAATATCTGTTGGGAGCCTCTGTCAGGTCAATGCTTCTGATGTTATAATATTGGAAGGGATTCTAGTTTTCCATGACTCACGAGTTCGGAATCTGATGAATATGAAGATCTTTGTTGATACCGGTAATGACCAATCTTGCTTTCAGTATTATCAACTGTTATGCCTTTTTGTTTCCCCAAAGCATCATATGTCTTGTGCTACTCATCGTCTTTCACTTTTTGGATAACTTATTAGTTTTGTATACCTGGAAATGATATTTTGCAATCAAAGTTGTCTATCTCCTTGGAAACTATTTCACATCTCTCTAGTCCTCATCATAAGCTATTAAATGGTTTCAGATGCTGATGTAAGGCTTGCTCGCAGAATCAGGCGTGACACAGTTGAGAGGGGTAGGGATGTCAATTCTGTGCTTGAACAGGTCAGTCCTCTTTTCGTTTTATGCTGTAGGATTTGTAAGCATAGGTTCATCTATCCTACTTAGGTGGCTTTATTATGTTTGTGACTACGAGACATGGGTAATAATACATGGAAATTCTGCTCTAGGGAACATCTCATTGTGTCTCTTCTCTGGTTTCTTCATCATTTTCTGCTTCTTACTGTTGTAATTTTCTAGATAACTCTATATGTTCTTAGTCCATCCTTTGAGATGCTCCACTGTAAAGCATCTCTTTTATCTTCTGAGCTTCACATGTGCTTAATTTTTGTTTTCTGAGGATGTTATGTTCATTTACAGTATGCAAAGTTTGTGAAGCCGGCATTTGATGACTTTGTGCTCCCCTCTAAGAAATATGCTGACGTAATCATTCCTCGAGGAGGTGATAATCATGTTGCAGTCGACTTAATTACGCAACATATCCACACAAAACTTGGGCAGCATGATCTCTGCAAAATCTACCCAAATGTTTACGTCATCCAATCAACATTTCAGGTGTTTTTCTCTCTCTTTCCCTCTTGGATGCTTGATTTCAATGGTAAGTGTTTGTATCAATGGTTTCACTATAGGATCATGATTGCAGATAAGAGGCATGCATACACTTATTCGGGAGAAGGACATATCAAAGCATGATTTTGTGTTTTATTCAGATCGACTCATTCGTCTGGTATTTCTCTGCCTCATGTCCTCTCTTTCAACGTCATTCAGCTTTCAGGCTTTCTTATTTTAACTATTATTGGTTTAATTTCAGGTCGTAGAGCATGGTCTTGGTCATTTGCCATTCACTGAGAAACAAGTAGTTACTCCAACAGGTATGTGAAGAGAATGCATGAGCTGTAACAATACTGTTTACACTTTCTTATATAACTAAGTCATCAGATGTCCGTCTCCTTCACGTTGATCTAGTTAGAGTTAGCTTATTCAACTCGTTTAAACTTCTTATCTTTTCCACACCAGGAGCTGTCTATACCGGTGTTGATTTCTGCAAGAAACTTTGTGGGGTCTCAATTATTAGAAGGTGAGCCTTTGAAAGGTATTGTATTTGGTTAAGTTTGATATGATAAGATGCTTGTTCTTCCAAATGTTTTACATCAAGGCATACATTACTTGTTTGCGGTTAAATTATCTCTCCTAAGAGTATTCTGTTTTGTATGTTTTTCCTAGTGGTGAAAGCATGGAAAATGCATTACGGGCTTGCTGCAAAGGAATTAAAATAGGGAAGATTCTCATCCACCGTGATGGCGATAATGGAAAACAGGTCCCAATTAATATTTTGCTCTGTTTTTAAACGTATCAAGTATAATCTCTTTTTACAAACAAGAATTTTGAAGTTTCTCTTCTTGTGTGAATCAGCTTATTTATGAGAAGCTTCCTCACGACATCTCTGAACGCCATGTCCTGCTTCTAGACCCTGTCTTAGCCACAGGTACCAAGTCTCTTCATGACTTTACGTTGCATATACTTATTATAGTGTTACTGATGGATTTTTGTTTTGCTGAATTAATATCTCGTGATATTGCTTGTTCTTAAAGGTAACTCTGCAAATCAAGCCATTGAATTACTCATACAGAAAGGAGTTCCTGAATCTCACATTATATTCCTCAACCTTATCTCGGTGAGTATAAAAAGCTAAAGATCGATCTTTCTCTCTCTCCGTGAATATAGAAGCCAAAAACTTTCTCTCTGCTTCTCTCTCCCTCTCTCATGATGGCCTTGCTTTCTGACAGGCGCCGGAGGGAATCCACTGTGTCTGCAAACGTTTTCCAGCATTGAAGATAGTGACTTCTGAAATAGACCAGTGTCTAAACCAAGAGTTCCGAGTTATACCGGGCTTAGGCGAGTTTGGCGATCGTTACTTCGGCACCGACGAGGAAGACCAGTAGTCACCACTCAACACGACAACACTGTGACCGGTTTCAAGCAAAAATAGATACATTGAAACAGCCTAAATTCTATGACTAGAGCGACACTAGAGGCACTTGTATGTCTTTGTACTAAATAACCATTCTCTTATGATTTATGAAGCTCCTCTTGCTTACTCGAATTATTTTTGAAAACGTAAGTTAATTTTCTGATTATTTTAGAAATTACTAAATTTTCTGTTTTGGTTAAAAAAAATTGTTTGGGGCAAGAAATAGGAGGGAATGCTAGTTTCTAAACCGGCGAAAATAGACATAACCAATCCTTTTATACATGATTTTGGCAATCGTATGAAAATTTCCATTTCTTATCTGCACTAATTCCATACTTATCATGTTGATTAATTATACATGATAAGAGCATCTCCAATGGATGTTTTATTGGGTTCTCTGATCAGGTTCTCTTGAAAAAAATGTTGAAAAATAAATCAAAACTCTGAATTATGGAGAGAGACAGCTCTCTTGAGAGAAATCTTGAGTAGTATGAGAGACGATGACGTGGCGTGTTCTCAGCCGTCGATTTTTTTGATCAAAACAAAAAAAAAACGCGTCAAAAAAAAATGAAAGAAGCCACACACTCTTTTTCTTTCCCGACTCTTTCTCTCTATCTCTTTGCGAGCGATGGCGATTACGCCACCGCAATAACCCACTTCACAGAAGCAATCAATCTCTCACCAACCAATCACGTCCTCTATTCAAATCGATCCGCCGCTTACGTTCTCTCCACCGTTACGAAGAAGCTTTATCCGACGCGAAGAAGACTATAGAGCTTAAACCTGATTGGTCTATAGGATATAGTCGATTAGGAGCTGCGTTTATTGGATTGTCTAAGTTTGAAGAAGCGATTGATGCGTATAAGAAGGGATTAGAGATTGATCCGAGTAACGAGACGCTTAAATCTGGATTAGCTGATGTGAGGAAAGAGTCTGAACCGGAGATGAGGATCGAATGAGAGTCTTCGATTAAGAAATCTTGTAATTGGTAAGAATCTACTACTTTTCTGCAGATTATCATGATTTAATTTTGGGAATTTGTTGTTGGTCGATTAGAGATTTTGAATTTTAGATTTTAGAGTAAAGATGAAGGTAGAAGTGCATGTATCAGTAGCTTATGGACTCTAGTCGGAACCTTGAAGCTTTGTGTGATTATCGAATGAAGCTTTCATTATTATGTTAGGTCAAATGCATCAGGTGTTTCTGAGAAACGCAGCTGCAACTTATAATCTGTGTTGTTTATTAGAAATTCTGATAAGGATGTTGATTTGTTTGAGAATGGTTTTCTACATTGCCTCTTTGTTTCCATCATCTGATTCTTTAAGTTTCTCTAGTTTGGATTCCGTTGCTTTGTTATTGTATTCTGATAGCATCATTCAAAATGTTGATTGAGTGTGGAACGATGTTTCCATTGCTTACGTCTTAATGCTTTCATCAAATTTTGTTTGCAGCGGGTTCTCTACATAGATATCGATGTCCACCATGGAGATGGAGTGGAAGAAGCGTTGTACACCACTGATAGAGTTATGACTGTTTCTTTCCACAAATTTGGGGACTTTTTCCCAGGAACTGGTCACATAAGAGACGTGGGCGCAGAAAAAGGGAAATACTATGCTCTAAATGTTCCACTAAACGATGGTATGGACGATGAAAGTTTCCGCAGCTTGTTTAGACCTCTTATCCAGAAGGTTATGGAAGTGTATCAGCCAGAGGCAGTTGTTCTTCAGTGTGGGGCTGACTCCTTAAGTGGTGATCGGTTGGGTTGCTTCAACTTATCAGTCAAGGGTCATGCTGATTGCCTTCGGTTCTTAAGATCTTACAACGTTCCTCTCATGATCTTGGGTGGTGGAGGGTATACTATTCGGAATGTTGCTCGTTGCTGGTGTTATGAGGTCTTTTCCATCTCTTTTGCAGTTCTTCTATACTTTTTGATAATCATATAGGTTTTTGTTCTTGAAAGTGTTTGTGTCTGTTGCCTCGTCGCAGACTGCAGTTGCTGTTGGAGTAGAGCCAGACAACAAACTCCCTTACAAAGATGGTTATGATTTCTTCCTGCAGATATGATGGATCAATTAGTTCAGCTTGTCAGCTATGGCTGCAGTTGATCAGTTTGCATTGCAGTTTGGTCCGAAAACCATCTAGCTTCATCATTTGCGAACCTAGAACCATATATATTTTTACATGTTTGATTTTTTTTTTTTAAGAAACCTACTTGAGAGAGATCACCATTGGAGTATGAAATTTTTTTAAAAGAAAACACAAGCTCTCATTTAAAAATTTGACAAAACTTATATTAAAAAATTGGTGAGAGCTCATGAGAGCTCATGAGAGAGCTCTCACCATTGGAGATGGCCTTAGGGTTTATGACCTAACCTAGTTATAGATTTTAACATTAATTGGAATGATGGGCCTAAGTTAAGCCCAATATAAAATTATTATAGCGTAACCGCCACGTTCATCTACAAGAATTCTATAAATACACAATCCCCTGCAAGTCCAGAGAGTACTAATTCATTCGACTCTTCACCTTTTTTTTTTTCCTCCGTCTCAAAATTTCCTTTTCGGCTCTCTCCGTTCGAGTTCGAAATCGTTCCCTAATCGAAGATCTAGATTCTACATACGTTTGATCTCTCAGGTTTGCTTCTTCTTCGACTACGATTATGATGATGTCTTCTTCCTGCTTTCACTTTGGGTTGGGTTTCTTCATCTCCTCGATTCTCGATCCTCCTATTCGCATCGATACCCAGAAATCTAGGGTTTCCACCGGTTTATTGAAGGAAATCTAGGGTTTCACCGATAAGGATGATGGATTCGAGTTTCTCTTCTATGTACATTCGTCGGAGCTAGATCTTCTCTTCTTGGGTTTTTTTTTGTTGTTGCTGTTGTTATTGTTGTATTAAGGGTTTTGCTACAATGAGAAATCATCGAAGCCTGTCGATTTAGTTTGTGATGATTTTCCAACTCGGAAACTCGGATGATCAATTTTCGACTATGGTTTGTTTGGAATTGAAGGATTCTTTCGGTGTTTAGTGGCATTTAGGTTAGGGTTCTGAATGGTGATTGTGAAATTAGAGATTTATTTGGTTTTTCTGTGGACGTGGTGCTCCATGATACCTGGATTTCATTTAGGGTTACAGGCAGAGGATTGTTGCGTTTGATTCTCTTCTTACTTCTAGCGATTGGGGAATTCAGAAACTACTTACTTCTGGACTTGTTACCCTTCTGAAACTTTATGTATGGGTCATCATGGATGAAGCAACAGTTATCGACTCAGTCTTCTAAAGTTGGTATTTTCTCAATGTTTAGTATGGATTACAAGGCGCCAAGGAGATACTCACACGGAAGGAATTTCGGAGTTGCGAGACAGCAAGATTTCGCAGCAGATATAGTTACGAGAAGACCTTATGTCCCTTACGACAATAGAATGAAGAAAAGTCCAAATAAGGTGTCAAGGAATCTGGTTTGGACGTCAAAAGAGTACAAAGCACCAGAGGGCAACATGCCAAGGAAGAATGCAGCCAATGGGTCTGCGAAACCACCAGTTTTAGGCACTGGATACTGTGTGTCAAACCAGCCGAGGAAGAATGCTGCGTATGGGCAAAGGAGCTCTTCTATTTCAGACACCAGAGGTTGGGGGTCGAGAGATAACAGCAGTCCTAAAAGAAGTGTATGTAAGTATTGGAAAGCTGGAAACTGCAAAAGGGGTGAGCAGTGCCAGTTCTTACACTCTTGGTCGTGTTTCCCTGGCTTAGCCATGGTAGCTGCTCTTGAAGGACACAAGAAGGATCTAAAGGGGATCGCCCTCCCTCAGGGTTCAGATAAACTCTTTTCAGTCAGTAGTGATGGTACATTGCGAATTTGGGACTGCAATTCTGGTCAGTGTGTACATTCCATCAACCTCCAGGCAGAAGCAGGGTCTCTAATCAGTGAAGGCTCATGGGTTTTCCTTGGCTTGCCAAATGCCTTAAAGGTTAGTTTAATGCATCTTAACTCAAATATACTTTCTATTATCTTAATTCTATTTGTTAAACTCAGTTGGTTCTGGTGTTAAAAGTTTTTGTTTATCAATTCTGCAGGCTTTTAACGTTCAAACCAGTAAAGATTTGCATCTTGAAGGGGTGGTTGGTCAGGTGCATGCAATGACTGCTGCAAACGGAATGCTTTTTGCTGGAACGAGTGTAAGTATTTTTAACTTACTCTGTTTGTCTTTCTAGACAAGTTTTAGGTCTCTGCTACTTTGTTGGATCTAAATTAATTTGGTCTTTTTGGAATTGCAGTCTGGTAGTATATTAGTCTGGAAAGCTACAGACTCTGAGTCTGATCCATTCAAATACTTGACATCTCTCGAGGGACATCATAATGGTGAAGTCACTTGTTTTGTTGTGGGAGGTCAACTGCTCTACTCTGGTTCTGTCGATAAAACAATAAAGGTAAGAACTGACTGCTACTAATTGATTTTATCTTTAATCTTATTCGAATGCATTCTAATCAATTCTGTTTGCTGTGGTTCAAGGTGTGGGATCTCAACACCCTGCAATGTATAATGACCCTGAAGCAACATACCGGCACTGTCACATCACTCTTATGTTGGGACAAGTGTCTGATATCATCTTCCTTGGATGGGACCATAAAAGTTTGGGCTTGTTCTGAAAATGGAAGCTTGAAAGTTGTTCAAACTCGTAAACAAGAACAGAGTGTTCATGCTCTTTGTGGAATGCATGATGCAGAGGCCAAACCGATCATATTCTGCTCTTACCAAAATGGAACAGTTGGCATTTTCGATCTACCATCGTAAGTGAAGCTTAATCTCTACTTATATTGTACTCTAATCTTTAATCATCTATCTATTCACTAATTCTTTTATAATTTTTGGGGTATTACACAGTTTTGAAGAAAGAGGAAAGATGTTCTCGACGCACACGGTCGGCACACTCACAATTGGTCCTGACGGATTGTTATTCAGTGGAGATAAGAGTGGGAGCTTGCGTGTATGGAGCTTAGCTGCTGGCAACAAAGTTTAGTCGTTTAACAATTTTCGACTAAAGAATTTTGATTTAATTTGTACATACATTTGTGGTCGATATGATGAGTTAAGAGAGATTAATTTTACTAAATTTAATTTCAAAATCCTTGCATTAGTTTCTTCAAATGCTGTCAGAGAATAAAATATTATCTTCAAATGTTGATCAGAGAATAAAGTAACCATGGAACCTTCAAAGTTTTGGTCTGTATGCAAATTGTTTTTATTCTTCTTTAGAACTCGTAATGTGGGGAAAAAATAGAGATTTACAAGTAGAAAACACAAATCTACCAAATAGTATAATTTGTTTTTTTTTGGTCTTGAAGAAAGAATGCAAGCAAAACTGGACAGAATATATATCAACTAAGAATGTGGAAAGAAACACAACTCACACAAACCAAGTAATAACGAACCTTCTTTGCAGTTTTGGCTTATTCATTGAGCTTTTCCACTTTTGTGTTTATCCAAGTGAGGAAATGCTTGTAGAATGTTATAAGCCCTTAGATCTTGCCTTGTTAAGATCCCTATCACAGGTGACATCTGCAACAACACAAGAAACATTTTGATCAAACTAAGAAACAATTAGTAGTGTTGAATCAAGAGAGTAACAAAAGCAAACTTACCCCTGAAGCTTGAATCTTGGGAACAACCAGCAAATGTCTGAGACCCACTGACCGGAACAGCACCAAAGCTTTAGCCACTGACATACTCTGCACCACTGTGTAAGGTGTAGTGTTGGTCAAAGGATGAAGATCAACATACAATTGCATCTCTGAGCTTGTGATTGCAACATCGTCGAAATTATCTTCTCTCTCAGCTAATTCAACCGGTGTGAACTTTTCCCTAACTTCCCACTCTTCTGTTCTCCTTTTCTCATTCAAGAACCATCTCTTTTTCAGAACTTTCACAAGGTGAGCTCTTAAGATCAGACCATGGAGCTCTGTACCAGTGGTTTGATCTGTTCCATCCAAGACTGGGAATGCGTTATGCGTTGTGTTCCTTAGTACATCGACTATATTCGCGACTTTCTCTACTCCGTTAAGTGTTACAACCGGAGGCTTAGCGTCGTTAAGCTCACCTACAGTAAGATTCCTCATCCATGGCTCTGGATTTGCTTCCAAGAACGGTAAACCCTTTAGATGCAGAATGATCTCGTAGATACTTAGATTGAAGCTGTCTCCAACAGTTTTAGCTATCAGAAGCACAAACATTGTGATGGGTAACAAAAGAAGGTTGTTGGTGAGTTCTAGGAATATAACACAGAGTGAAACTGTCATTCTCATTGAACCAGCCATGAGTGAAGCTGCACCAAGAACCGCGTAAAGCCCTTGATCTATGTTTGTGTAAGATCCCATAGCTGTGCCTAGCATCCGACCGTATGCAGACCCCATGAGGATAATCGGTAGGAAGAGACCCGATGGTGTCGCTATACCGAATGTGATAAGACCCAAAATGCAGTAGAGGCCAAAGAATATCCAGAGAGAAACCATACCAAACTCATTAGGAGTGTTTGAAGAGAAAATGTTTCTCACTGCATCATCATTGGTTGTGAGAAGAAGAGTAGCTAGATCGTTGTAATAACCATTTGGACAATTGAATTGCTTGAAGTTTCCTGATCTTCCATTTGTTGGACAGGTCTCGTCTATCGAAGGATTACAAGGCTTGCATTCCGCCAAGAAAGGAAGACCGTACAAGCAAACCGAGGTGAATAGAGATACCGAAAGACTTAGAAGCACCTTGTGAATCTTACCCTTCCTGCACAAAAGTTGATCAAACAATGTTAAGTACAAAAACAAATCTTTAAACTCTTTGAGTGTTCTCACTGATAAGAAACACTTACTGATTGATGAGATTGTAAAGCCGGAGAACTTTATGCAGAAGATGATTGTACAAGCTTCCAAGAATGCCGCCAAAGACTCCAATCAGTGTGACTGGGATTATATCCGCTGCGTGGTACCTAACCTCTACATGACTCACATCAAACATGATGAGTCCTCCTGAGCCGAAAAGCCCGCATTTCCCGGAATTACAAATCTCAATGAACGCTCTCAGTACAACCACCACAACGGCTGTACTGAAGAATGTCCTCCACAAGAGAGCACTTCTCCACCACGTAGCGACTTCCTCAAGTGCGAAAAGCACTCCTCCTACTGGTGATCTGAAAGCTGCACATACTCCAGAGGCAGATCCACAGGTAATAAGATCTCTTCGGTCTCTATCGTTGTTGAAGTAACGAAGCCATCTCCACTTGATTCTGTGATTATCTGGACCACCTTGACCAAGTAAAGAAGCAATGCAGCTTCCAATATGAACCAAAGGCCCTTCTTTACCAAGATCAAGTCCAGCTGCAACTGCTCCAATACTTCCAACAATCTACTCGAAAAACCGCAGAATCCATCAGTCAAACAAACATCTCACATTAACTTTGCGGGAAGATTCAAACTTTCAATCTTTCTTTCATATTCAATTACAGCTCATGAACTGTGAAGGCTTAAGAAACAAACCTTAACCATCATGGTGGTAAAACCAAACATATTGGGAGTGTCAATGCCATTAAGATAAGCTTTAATCTCAGGGATCCCGGGACCAGCCGCCGTAGGAGCAAAGTAAACAACAAGTACTGTCGCCACCAAAGTCAGACCCAAATTCGCCCCCGTAAAGATCATCAGACCTGTCCAAAACCTATTTCAAACATAGACTTAGCATACAAGGTAACTCAATTTCTTGATCTTGAGTGTTATCTTTTCAAGATTTGGCTGATGAGTCAATACCTATCTTGACCGATATAGTAGCCTACGGCAAGAAGTTTGTAACCGGCGATGTTTTCAACAGCGAGGTTGATGAGAGTAGCGATAAGACCAGTGAAGAGACCAACAAGACAAGCTAATGTCCATTTTAGAAATATGTATTGAAACACTTGTGTTTTTGATCTGCTTCTCCAGTCATGCTTGAACAGATCATTCTCATTTATTCTGCAGAAATCCAAAAATCTCAGTATAAAAATCTATACAAAATTATCACATATGTCTCCATCACTGAATATTTTCCACCAAGTTTTTTTAAATAAAAATGAAGATTATCTGAAAACAGAGTAAAGATAAATAAACTTTATAGAAAGAGATTTGAGACCAAGACTTATCATACAACTAATAAACAAAAGGTAACCCAATTTTCTTGATCTTGTTCAAGATTTGGTTTATGATTGCTTGCGGCAAATTGAAAATGTGAGAAATAATTGAAGTATCACAACAGTTTATATGTCTCCATCACTAATATTTTCATTCAAAATTTTGTTCTGAAAATCAGAATAAAGATTTAAACTTTATAGAAAGAGATTGAGAACCAAAATTCATTCAATTTTATTTGTTTTCTGAAATGAAAATTAGCTGAAAACATAGTAAGATTGAAACTTTGTAGAAAAGATAATGAAATTCAATAATCCATCCAATGATCCAAATAGTTTTAGAAAGTGAAAATTTGTCTGGAAACAGAGTAAAGCTCAAAACTTTATAGAATAAGATTTATTTTTTTTTTGTCACTCTTTATTAAATAAGATAAAAAAAAATTTATCTGAAAACAGAGTAAAGATCAAAATGTTATACAAAGATTAAGACCACGAATACATACAATTTTTTTTAATAATATAGTGAATTTTTTTTCTGAAAACAGAGTAAAGATTCTCAGATTTATGAAAAGATTAAGACAAAGAACTCAAAATCAAGATCTGGAAGATAAAGAAGACATACTCATAATCTAAACTCTCGATGTGTGAAACCTTGGCACCGACCAAAGCAAGAGGAGTTGAAGAAAGAGTTCTATGTCTCTTAAGGAGAGGTTGGTTCAAAGTGTTGTTCTCTGGATCTTCTTCTTCTTCTTCTCCATTGTAATTACTATTACTAATCTGCAAGTTTCCATCTTCATCCATCTATAACTCCCTCTCTAATGATCCAAGTGACAATATAGAGGACCACTCAGAAAATATAGGAAAAAAAGATCAGAACAACAAAAGTAGATTTTGGTTAGATCTTCAAGAGCTTTCTATATATCTCTCTGTTACAAAACTACTTTTGGTTTGGATTTCTCTGTGAATTTTGTCGTTTTTTCTAGAGGAAACACTTTTATGAAGCTTTATAGATCTCTCTACATATAGTCACATATGATACATGCATGCATCAATATACACCATTATATGTATGGTTATACAAACATAACATTAAATTTGAATTTTATTTGTTGTGAGGAGTCACAGTGGGTGGATGGGTACCATATGCTATTCTCACTAAAGATAAGACAATCATTGGTCTATATTATATTGCCTACTCAAATAATATAACCCAAAAAGAAAGGCAAATTACGGCATGATATGTGTGTGTGTTAGGAACCTACTATTCTCTAGCTATGTTTCAATCTGAACACAGTGAATAGTTTTGAAATCCATTGTTGATTTTGAAGGAAGAAAAATGTAATTCTGTATACAAACCCTATATTAATTACCTATTCTTATCCATATTTTAGTCCATTTTGTTGTGTTCATACTTTTAGTGGCGGATCTAGAAATGAGTTTTATAGGGGTCATAATATATAAAAATATTATATCTAGACTTAAATTGATATATTATATGAAATAAAGGGGTCATTTGGAAGTTCAACTACAAATTTATAGGGGTCAAAGACTAATTTTACTCAAAATTTTCATCAAATATAATCCAATTTACACTAAAAATTACTATTTTATAAAATTTTATAGGGGTCACATGACCCCCCTCGTTTTCATGTATCTAATACTCAAAATAAATTTGAATTTAGTTTGTGATTTTGACGTAGTTGAACAACGACGAAAATTTTAAAATTTTATATTAAATTAAATCTTATCCAATAAGGATATAACCCTTTTTGTGTGTGTAGAAATCTGACTATTATCTATAGCTATTAATTTGAACTCAATTTGTTATTTCTTTCAATACAAATCAATATGTGATTTTGACGTAAAGTTGAAGAGGGAAAGAATAATGATTTATATACACATTAAGGTTAAACT